CATCCGTCCTCAGTTTTTGTCAGCATTCAAGAGTCTCTCATGGTTTGCCTCTCTCCCTTTCCCCCTCCATTTCCCCCATTCTTCTCCCCCTTGTTCCTCCGTCAAGTTCCTCCTAATCCTCCTATACGTGCAAACATATGATATCTGTCCTCTGCCTGACTTATTTCGCTCAGCATAACACCCTCAAGTTCCATCCATGGGGCTACACATGGCCAGATTTCATTGTTTCTCATTGCCATGTAGTATTCCATGATATAGATAAACCACATCTTCTTGATCCATTCGTCCGTTGATGGACACTTAGGCTCTTTCCATGTTTTAGCTATTGTGGAGAGTGCTGCTATGAACATTGGGGTCCATGTGTTCTTATGCATCAACACTCCTATATCCCTTGGGTAAATTCCTAGCAGTGCTATTGCTGTGTCATAGGGGAGTTCTACTGTTAGTTTCCTGAGGAACCTCCACACTGTTTTCTAGAGGGGCTGCACCAATTTACATTCTCACCAACAGTGTAGGAGTGTGCCCGTTTCTCCACATCCTCGCCAGCGTCCAGAGTCCTCTGATTTGCTCATTTTAGCCACTCTGACTGACGTGAGGTGGTATCTCAGTGTGGCTTAGATTTGTATTTCCCTGATGAGGAGGGATGGTGAGCATCATTTCATGTGTCTGTTGGCCATCTGGATGTCCTCTTTGGAGAAGTGTCTGTTCATATCTTCTGCCCATTTCTTCACTGGGTTGTTTGTTTTTTGGGTGTGGAGTTTGGTGAGTTCCTTATAGATTTTGGATATTAACCCTTTATCTGATATGCGATTTGCAACTATCTTTTCCCATTACGTAGGTTGTCTAGTAGTTTTATGGATTGTTTCCTTTGCCTTGCAAAAGCTTTTAATCTTGATGAGGTCCTAATAGTTTATTTTTGCTCTTGATTCTTTTACTTTCGGGGATGTGTTTAGTAAGAAATTGCTGCATTGGAGGTCAAGGAGGTTGCTTCCTGCTTTCTCCTCTAGGGTTTGAATGGTTTCCTGTCTCACGTTCAAGTTCTTTATCCATTTTGAGTTTATTTTTGTGTATGGTGTGAGAAAATGATCCAGTTTCATTCATCTTCATGTTGCTGTCCAGTTCTCCCAGCACCACCTGTTAAAGAAGCTGTCTTTTTTCCATTGGAAACTCTTTCCTGCTTTGTCAAAGACTAGTTGGCTGTATATTTTTGGGTCCAACTCTGAGTTCTTTATTCTATTCCATTGGTCTATGGGTCCGTTTTTGTGCCAATACCATACTGTCTTGATGATGACAACTTTGTAGTAGAGGCTAAAGTCTGGGATGGTGATGCCTCCCATTTTGGTTGTCTTCTGCAATAATACTTTGGCTATTTGGGGTCTTTTGTGGTTCCATACAAAAGTTAGAATAGTTTCCTCTAGTTTCAAGAAGTATGCTCGTGCAATTTTGATTGGGATTGCATTGAATATGTAGATTGCTTTGGGTAGTAATGACGTTTTAACTATATTTATTCTTCCAATCCATGAGCATGGAATGTTTTTCCATTTCTTTGTATCTTCTTCAATTTCCTTCATAAGTTTTTATACTTTTCATCATACAGATCTCTTATATTTTTTGTTAGGTTTATTCTTAAGTATTTTATGTTTTTTTGTTGAATTGTGAATGGGATCAGTTTCTTGATTTCTGTTTCTTTTGCTTCATTTTTGGTGTATGAAAATGCAACCGATTTCTCTATGTTGATTTTGTACCCTGCACCTTTGCTGAATTCTTGGATCAGTTCTAGTAGGCTTCTAGTAGAGTCTGTCGGGGTTTCTATGTAAAGTCTCATGTCGTCTGAGAAAAGTGAAAGTTTGACTTCTTCTTTTTCAATTCTGATGCCTTTGATTTCCTTTTGTTGTCTGATGGCTGATGCTAGGATTTCCAGCACTATGTCAAATAACAGTGGTGAGACTGGACATCCCTGTCGTGTTCTTGGTCTCAGGGGGAAAGGTCTTAGTTTTTCCCCGTTGAGGATGATGTTAGCTGAGGGCTCTCATGGATGGCTTTTATGATGTTTAAGTAAGTTCCTTCTATCCCGACTTTCTCGGGAGTCTATATTTAGAAGGGATGCTGTATTTTGTCAAATGTTTTTTCTGCATCTATCAACAGGATCATAAGGTTTTAATCTTTACTTTTGTTGACATGATGCATCACATTGATTGATTTGCGAATGCTAAACCAGCCCTGTAACCGAGGAATGAATCCCACTTGATCTTGGTGGATTTTTTTTTTTTTATGTGCTGTTGGATTCGATTTGCAAAGATCTTGTTGAGGATTTTTGCATCCGTATTCATCAAGGATATTGGCCTGTAGTTCTATTTTTTGCTAGATCTCTGTCTGGCTTGGGAATCAGAGTGATGTTGGCTTCATGAAAAGAGTCCGGGAGTTTTCCTTCGATTTCTATTTTTTGGAATAGGTTGAGAAGAATGGGTATTAATTCTGTTTTAAATGTCTGGTAGAATTCCTCATGGAAGCCATCAGGTCCAGGGCTCTTATTTGTTGGGAGATTTTTTATCACTAGTTCGATATCTTCACTAGTTATGGGTCTGTTCAGGTTTCCTCTCTCTTCCCGTGTGAATTTTGGTAGTGAGTATGTGTTTTGGAATTTTTCCATCTCTTCTAAGATGTACAATTTGTTGGCATATAATTTTTCATAGTATTCCCCGATAATTGCATGTATATCTGAGGGGTTGGTTGTAATAGGTCCATTTTCATTGATGATTTTGTCTATTTGGGTGCTCTCTCTTTTCTTTTTGAGAAGCCTGGCTAGAGGTTTGTCAATTTTGTTTCTTCTGTCCAAAAACCAACTCTTGGTTTCATGAATCTGTTCAATTGTTTCTTTGGTCTCTATGTTGTTTATTTCTGCTCTGATTTTTACTATTTCTCTTCTTCTACTGGGTTTGGGGTTCTCTTGTTGCTCTGCCTTTAGTTCCTTTAGGCGAGCTGTTCGGTTTTGCTCTTGAGCTTTTTCTAATTTCTTGAAACAGGCCTGGAGTGCAATGTACTTTCCTCTTAGGGCTGCCTTTGCCACATCCCATAGATTTTAGATTTTTGTGTTTATATTTTCATTTATTTCCATATATTTTCAAATTTCTTCTCTAACTGCCTGATTGGCCCATTCATTCTTTAGTAGGGTGTTCTTTAACCTCCATGTTTTTGGAGGTTTTCCAGACTTCTTCTTGTGATTGATTTCAAGTTTCAAAGCATTATGATCTGAAAGTGTGCATGGTATGCTCTCAATTCTTTTATTTTTATTGAGGGCTGCTTTATGTTCCAGTATGTGATCTATCTTAGAGATTGTGCCATGCACACTTGAGAAGAAAGTGAATTCCTTGGCCTCAGGATGCAGAGTTCTAAATATATCTGTCAGATCCATCTGACCCAATGTATCAATCAAGTCTATTGTTTCTTTAGTGATTGTCTGTACGGTTGATCTATCCATTGCTGTAAGTGGAGTATTAAAGTCCCCTATTATTAACACATTCTTATCTATAAGATTGTTTCTGTTTGTGATTGTTTTTTTTATTTTGGTGCTCCTATATTTGTTGTGTAGACTTTTATAATTTTTATTTCTTCTTGATGGATAGACTTTGTAATTATTATATAATGCCCTTCTTCATCCCTTGTTATTGTCTTTAATTTAAAGTCCATTTTGTCTGATATAAGTATAGCTACTCCAGCTTTCTCTTGACTTCCCGTAGCATGATAGATATTTCTCCATCCCCTTACTTTTAATCTGAAGGTATCTTCCAGTCTAAAATGCGTTTCTTGTAGACAACAAATAGATGGATTTTGTGTTTTTCATCCTGCTACCCTATGACTTTTGATCAGAGCATTCAGCCCATTTACATTCAGTGTTATTATTGAAATATGTGGGTTTAGAGTCATTGTGTCCTTTGTGGGTTTCATGCTTGTGGTGGTTTCTCTTGTGTTTTGCATTCCTTGCAATACTTCCCTCATAGAGTCCCCCTCAGCATTTCTTGTAGGGCTGGTTTAGTGGTGACAAATTCTTTCAATTTTTGTTTATTTGGAAGGACTGGAGTTCTTCCATTTCGTCATTTTGGTTAACTTTCTATCTCTTGTTAATTTTAAAAGCTTGTTATACACTCAGCCCCTGCTAGTTGTACTGCATTAGAGAGGGCTCTTTTGACTGTTCAGGGCCTGTCTATTCAGGAAGTATTCTTTGGATGGTGTCTCTTGGTTTCTCTTGTGGAGCCTTTGGTTCTTTCGTTTCCTTACTGGTAGTGGTATTTGGGACTCTCCACCATGTGTAGTTTGGCTTGTTTCTTGAGGCAGTCCTGTTGTCCCCCCCCATGTCTGGGCTGTGGCCCTCGCAGCAGTGGCCGCCTCAGTGGTCGTAGTCGTCTTCGCTCACCGCCTCCGCCTGCCACCACCTCATTCCTTTTTGCTGCCGCCATCCCCGGGGCTCATGCGGGACGCACGCTTCCTTCTCGCTAGACTAAGGCCGGGAAAGGGGCACTAGGACACCGAAAACCCCACGCTCGTCGTCAGCCACTGCTCTGCCGCTGCCTGTGCCCACTAGGGAGCTGCACGGCCGCCAGGCCGAGGCTAGACTGTGAGCTGCTGTGAGAGTGACCCCAAGGAGGAGCCCAAGGAGGCGCTGCTGTCCGTGGGTGTAATCGTTAGGACCGCAGAGATGAAGCTCCAATCAGAGGCAGCAGGGAAAGGCAAATGCCTGGGCTTACGGATGGCTAAATGATAGCGAGGTGCGCAAGTGAGAGGTAGGCGGTATATCGAAATTCTGGCGAAGGGGATTCAGGCTCTGTCTTCCCCGAACCCAGTGCCACCATCTTGGGAAAAACGCCCGAAGTCTGTTTTCTAATAAGGTATTATTTTAATAATAAAGTACAAGCAAAAGCAATACTTGTCCAGAAAAAACATTATAAAATCTTCTATTTTTCTCAGATATTAGAAATAATTTTGATTTTACCAGTTTCTCCCAATCATATTAGTATCATAAGTGTATGCATAAAACAACTCCTTTTTTATAAAAATTTGATGGAGCCCTTGGTTTATTTCCTCATTCCTTCCAAATGAGAAGAAGCATGTGTCTTTATTATATAACACATATATTTTAAGTAGATCACTTTTTAAAGTTAGAGTTTTGGCTAAAACATGTTTCAAAGTAATGTAATATTTAAAACTTCAGATTTAATTACTACTTTTATCCTGGGTATGCTATCTGTGTACTAGTACAAAACAGATAATAGGCAAATAGTTGTAAAGGGAGCCCAATGCTGCCAAAATTAGTCTTCTGCACTTTTTTCCCAAAAGATGAATCTCCTTCCCCAACGTTTGGGAGGTAGGCTGTGCAGGCCTCACAGTGGTATCACTGGGGCAAAGCTGGACCATAAAAGTTACTGAAGGGTCGACATGCCTGGCTGCCTTCAGCTTGTGAAGGTGACTTGACATTTTCCACTTAATGTAAGAAAAGCAATGTGATGAGTTTTTAAAAAGGCGTATCCATCTCTTCATCTTTTTTGCTCTCACCTAAGGTTAGTAATTAATTAGTGCACTACTTCTTTCAAAAAGTGCAGTGACCTGTTAGAGATATTCAATGTTAGTCTCGAAGCATGGTGGAAATTCCTTCTACTAAGCAGGTCAATAAATTTCCATAGTTGTTCTTTGGAAATAGTTTAAAAGAACTGGAACTGTGATTGTCATTTATATGCTGTTTTCTGAACCTACAGAGGCAATTTGGGTCACACTGTATGTAGTTTAGCAAGCTACCTGCCTTGGTAGATTCAATATGACATCTTATACAGTCATAGAGATTACTGTATTGAATTTCTTTCTTGTACTTATTTTAAACATACCAAAGGCTTGAGATGGAATTTTCATTTTACGAATAGGTGTGTCAGATGATCTTTAATAATGACACTTAAATGTAGGAAATAGTTATTTAAGTCTTCAAACCCTACTGTATAATCACACATGGGAGATAAAAATGGTCCCGTGTTTATACGATTTTGTTTTCACAAAATAACATATAATTCATCCTACTTAAAAGACAATCAAAAATATGATATTTGAATATAAGTTGTGATTATTATAATAAATAAACAACTACATTGCAAGACTCAGTGTCCATTACAGCAAAAATAAGTGCTTATGATGAACCCAAGCAAATAGTCTCTCTGTGTCTTAGGTTCACGAAAAAATTGCTCGCTCTAATTGACTGCACATATATAAAATGCCACTGAAGTTTTATAGTTTAAACCCTGACTTGATAACAAATTACTGCATGGACATGTCAAGATCAGTAATGGTGTACTATAATGCTCTAAACAGGTTCTGTTATAAAGATGTGAATTCTTCATGTAGGTAAGATAGAGCATAACTGAAAAGCTGTGAGTCCTTTTGTGATTAATTTCCAGTGGCTTGGAGTATTAAAAATATGTTCTGATACACTTGCCTTTCAGGCCACATTCATGTTTTGTTTTAGTTTAGCATAATTCAGTTGTCAGGGTAGAAGTGGTATGGTTGCTCACAAAGGATTTTCCATTGAGTTGGATACTCTCTTGTCTTGAAAGTCGTCTTCTGAACTCATTAGTGGTGAAGTAGTATATGACTGGGTCAAGACAGGAATTCAGACTAGCAAGACAGAGGGCAACAGAATGAAATATTAGAATCACCCTTCTGGCTAGGCAGCTTTGAATTTTGTTAGACTTGACCAGAAAATCTAAAGGAAAACTGAAGTGATAAGGTGCAAAACAAATTAGGAATACTCCTGCACAGGTTAGAATCATCTTCAAAGCTTTCTTTTTCTCCCCAAGGTCTTGGACCACAGGATATTTATCATGCAGTGATAAAACTGTCTTCCAGGTACAGTACAGGACAATCAGAAGAGGAGTGACAAACCCAATCAGCTCACCAATGGTCATCATGGCAACAGTATGGACCAGATTGACATTCCTGGTAGGAAGACCCACAAAGCATTTGGTTCTGTTGCCTGGGTTGTCAGCACTGGTTCTGAGGAGAGGAAAGAGCAGACAAGCAAGACAGATGATCAACCATCCAGCGATGCTGATGTAGAGGTCATATTTCTGTTTGCAGTCATGGAAGCGAAAGGGGTATATGAGATACCAAAATCGTCGCACACTTATGCAGACCAAGAAGTAGATGCTTGCATACATGTTGACATACTTTAGGTAGAAACAGAACATGCAGAGGCCAGGCCCAAATGGCCAGTGATGATTCAAGTAGTAAAATATCCTCAGTGGCAGGGAGAGAACTTGTAGTAAGTCAGCAATGGCTAAGTTTATCATGAATATCACGGCCCTTTTGGTTTCTTTCATATAGCCATAAAATACCCATAAGGCTAATATGTTCCCTATGAGACCTGGCACAAGAATTACAGTGTATGTCACTGCATAGATAAAATAACGAAAATCTCTATTGTCTCCATCTGGCACAGCACATGTGTCATTGACAGGCATGTTTCTTTCCAGAGCAACTATCTGCCAAATGGTGGTTCAAAACATAAATTCACATCAACTGCTACTCTTTCTAAAAGACTTATCAATTGGTTGTAGACAGTGAATGTAAAATAGCTTCTTTTTTCCTGTTGTGGTCTGAGCCCCTACACATAATTTTGGGGCTTTTCAAATAACTGTCTGCATATTTTCCATGATTATTTTTATGGTAACTGCACTGAAGTCTAGTGTGCAGGAACAGGTGACAAGCTGTTATGTTTTCCCCTTGTTTATTCCATTATAAGGCCTTTTGGAACATCATTACAGTTGATTCTTTCCCATTTGGATCATGAATGTGCCACACAGCAGCTCTTCAAATTTCCATATGATAATAGCCATCTCTTTACAGGTGTTTCACAGGCTGTTTTTCCTTATCTTTGTCTCACATAGAAGAAAGATTTGCTTTAGTACTCAAGGAGACCGCAATTCTTCAGAGATGATTAATTTGGATAGATCAACTTTCTGAGAGTTTTTCAGTTATGTGTTGAAAGCTAAAAATTGGGAAACAAAGGCAGCACTGCAAATGAAGAAAAAACACAAATAAACCAATTATTGCCTGGCATTTTTAAAAAAAAATAATAAAAGGAAAAGCCTATGTATACAAAAATCTATTCATTTGAATGGAAAATTCTCAAGTGAGAGTGATGAGCTAGTTTCTATAAAATACTTTAGAATCACTGTAAAGTACAGCAAGAAGTAACTTGAGAGGTAATGTAGTCTGTGACTGGACCAACATTATTTGAGAGCTTATTAGATATGGGGAAGACTCTCAGACCCTACCTGAGACTTTCAGAACCAGTTGGAAGTGTAATGAGAACTACAGGTGATTTTTATGCATATTAATATTTGAGAGGCTCTGATGTAGACCATTGATTCTCAAATCACATTAATGTCAGACGCCTCTGATGAAGTTAAAAATATACAGCTTTCCACAGCTTTCGTGGTGTCTCTTCCAGAGATTCTAATTCTTTATAGGAGCCCCCAAATTTGTATTTGTTAAAAGTTTCCCATATGAGCACCCTCCTATACTGTTGGTGGGAATGCAAACTGGTGCAGCCCCTCTGGAAAACAGTGTGGAGGTTCCTCAGGAAACTAACAATAGAACTCCCCTATGACCCAGCAATAGCACTGCTAGGAATTTACTCAAGGGATACAGGAGTGCTGATGCATAGGAGCACACGGACCCCAATATTCATAGCAGCACTCTCCACAATAGTCAAAACATGGAAAGAGCCTAAGTGTCCATCAACGGACGAATGGATTAAGAAGATGCGGCTTATCTATACCATGGAATATTACATGGCAATGAGAAACAATGAAATCTGGCCATGTGTAGCCACATGGATGGACCTTGAGGGTGTTATGCTGAGCGAAATGAGTCAGGCAGAGAAGGACAGATACAATGTTTGCACGTATAGGAGGATTAGGAGGAATTTAACAGAGGACCATGGGGGAGAAGAAGGGGGGAAATAGTGAGGGAGAGGGAGAGAGGCCAACCATGAGAGACTCTTGAATGTTGAGAACAAACTGAAGACTGATGGGTGTGGGGGTGAGGGGAGAGATGGGCATGTAGGAGGGCACTTGTGGGGATGAACACTGGGTGTTATATGGAAACCAACTTGACAATTAACTATTTGTAAAAAAAATGAAATACATAAATAAATAAATAAATAAATAAATAAATAAATAAATAAAATTAAAGGTTTTTTAACTCTCAAACTGAAATACATCTTTGTAATATTTTCACAAGTATTGGTTTTGGATAGGTGACAGGCAAGATCAGGTGGCAGACCAATCAAAAGTCTGGGTTTCCAACTTCCTTGTAACTTTATATAGAAGTTATTGTCTCCTATAAATATAGTTAAAATGTCATTGCTACTCAAAGCAATCTACACATTCAATGCAATCCCAATCAAAATTGTATCAACATTCTTCTAAAAACTAAAAAACAAAAACAAAAACTATTCTAAAATGTGTATGGAACCACAAAAGACCCCGAATAGTCAAAGTAAAATTGAAGAAGAAAACCAAAATGGGAAGCATCACCATCCAAGACTTTAGCCTCTACTACAAAGTTGTCATCATCAAGACAGTATGGCATTGAAACAAAAACAGGCATACAGACCAATGGAATAGAATAGAGAACTCAGATTTGGACCCAAGATTGTACAGCCAAGTAATCTTTGCCAAAGCAGTAAAGAGTATCCAGTGGAAAAAAAGACAACCTCTTTAACAGATAGTGCTGGGAGAGCTGGACAGCAACATGCAGAAAAATGAAACTAGATCATTTTCTCACACCATACACAAAAATGAACTCAAAATGTATAAAGGACCTGAACGTGAGACAGGAAACCATCACAACTTTAGAGGAGAAAGTAGGACACAACCTCCTTAACGTCAACTGCAGCAAGTTCTTACTTGACTCATCCCCAAAGGCAAGGGAATCAAGAACAAACATGAACTCTTGGGACCACATCAAGATTAAAAGCTTTTGCAAGGCAATGGAAACAATCCATAAAACTAATAGGCAACTGACGGAATGTGAAAAGATAGTTGCAAATGACATATCAGATAAAGTGCTAGTACCTTTAATCTATAAGGAACTCACCAAACTCCACACACAAAAAACAAATAACCCAGTAAAGAAATGGGCAGAAGATATGAACAGACACCTCTCCAAAGAGAACATCCAGATGGCCAACAGACAACATGAAACGATGCTCAGCATCCTTCCTCATCAGGGAAATACAAATCAAAACCCCACTGAGATACTACCTCACGCCATTCAGAGTGGCTAAAATGAGCAAATCAGAGGACTCCAGATGCTGGCTAGGATGTGGAGAATCAGGCACCCTCCTACACTGTTGGTGGGAATGTAAACTGGTACAGCCCCTCTGGAAAACAGTGTGGAGGTTCTTCAAAAAATTAACACTAGAAGTCCCCAATGAACCACCAATAGCCCTGCTAGGAATTTACCCAAGGGATACAGAAATGCTGATGCATAGGAGCACATGGACCCCAATGTTCATAGCAGCACTGTCAAGAATAGCCAAAACAGGGGCGCCTGGGTGGCTTAGTCGGTTGAGCGTCCGACTTTCGCTTGGGTCACGATCTCGCGGTTCGTGGGTTCGAGCCCCGCGTCGGGCTCTGTGCTGACTGCCAGCTCAGAGCCTGGTGCCTGTTTCAGAGTCTGTGACTCCCTCTCTCTCTGACCCTCCCCTGCTCACGCTGTCTCTCTCTCTCTGCTAGAAATAAATAAAACATTAAAAAAAAAGAATAGCCAAAACATGGAAAGAGCCTAGTGCCCATTAACTGACGAATGGATCAAGATATGGTTTATCTATACGATGGAATACTCCATGGCAATGAGAAAGAATGAAATCTGGCCATGTGTAGCAACATGGATGGAACTCAAGGGTGTTATGCTGATCCAAATAAGTCAGGCAGAGAAGGACAAATACCACATGTTTGCATGTATAGGAGGATTAGGAGGAACTTAACGGAGGACCGTGGGGGAGACGAAGGGGAAAAATAGTCGGGGAGAGGGAGGGAGGCAAACCATGAGAGATCCTTGATCGCTGAGAACAAACTGAGGGCTGATGGGGATGGGTGGGAAGGGACGGGACGGGGTGGCGATGGGCATGGAGGAGGGCACTTGTGGGGATGAGCACTGGATGTTATATAGAAACCAACTTGACAATAAACTATTTAAAAAAAAAAGAAGTCATTATCTTCTAATGTCACTGAATAGACAGAAGTTTATACAAATACATATCCAGTAAACCTCTATTGAATATCCATCTTCCCCATCATTACCAGTGACTCTTCAATCTTTATTTCATTTGAGCTGTAGCTCTTTCCAACTATATATAAGAACACTTTTCTTGATATTTCATTATCACTTCAAAATTCAACATATGAAAGTGATCTTTTGTGTTTTTTATAAAGACATATTTAAACTATGTCTTTTCAAATTATGTCATCTCTTTGGTAAAAATCTCCTAATGACTTTTCCTCTCACTTAGAAGAAAAATCAAAGTTCTTTTCAATGGCTTATGTCTTCTTACATGATCTGGTATCTGTTAATCTTCTGAGCTCACCTCCTAATATTCTCTTGCACTCTGCTCCAGTCACCTTGCCATTCTTGTTGTTATGTGAACAGACTAGGTACATTCCTACTTCAAAGACTTTGAATTGGCAGTTCCCTGTGCCTGAAATGCTTTAGCCCAGTTATTTACTTGTTTCATTCACTCATCTCCTTCAGCTCTTTACTTAAATGTTACTTTTTTGTGAGGCTGATCTTTCTACTTAAAACTGGAGCTCTATTCCAACATTCCCCATCTCCTTTCAGTATTTATTTTCTCCATTCTCAAACATAGTTAACATGCTTTATGTGTTTTTTTACTTATTTATTCCGCTTTTATATTTTTTACCTACTAAAATGTAAAGTCCATGAGGACAGGGATTCTCATATATTTTGTCTACTTGTTGTAACCAAAGACTGTGCAAGACACAAAGTAAGTGCTCAGTATTTGTTGAATGAAATCGTCTCAGCAAATAAAAATTATTTGACTATAAAAATCAACATTCTCAAACAAAAATTTTAGAATCATCTCTCAAAACTTCAAACTTGATCTTGCTCTAGATTTCCTTATTGCTATTAAGTTGTTCAATATTTTCCCAGGTTGTCTCAAAGTCTTAGAGACTTTGACTCTTTGTCACTTGTTCTCCACTTCCAAACAAGTTTCTAAGGGGGAGATAGCATACTATTGAGGAAAATAATGTATGTTTAGAAGTTAGAATGACCTATGTTTAAATTCCTGCTCTTTCAATTAATAGGCTCTCTGACCTTGGGTACATCACTAAACCTCTCTGTTCCTTAATTTTCTCATTGGTAAAATCAGAATAATTATAGTACCTAACCTATAAGGGTCAGTCTGAGAATTAGTTGAACTGTTGTATGGAGTCTATTTAGCATAGTGTCTGGTACATAATAAGTGCCCAATAAACATGAGTTATAACTTATCAGTTATTATTTTCTGCAATTTCATTATCTCAGACAACCATCTCATTTTTTAAATTTACATTATTTTTACTCTAGTTCAGGCCTTCATTACCTGAATTTGTCTCACTATCCCATATCTTTTCCTACTCTATTCTGTATAAAACCATCAGATTTTTTTTTTATGAACTTTTTAAAGAGCATTAATGACTCCCTATTGCCATCAAATCACAAAGTGCCTAGCCTTATAGTCATTAGCCTCCTTAAATACAGTGCCTTCTACCTTTAGAGCTCTGTCTCCTATTACTCTCCTGGCATGATCAGCACTCCAGCCAAACTGAACTCCTTACTGTTCAAACTGACCTTTTTCTTTTTCTTTTTTTTTTTCCACAAACATTTGCACATTATTCTTCTCATCCTGGAATATCTTCTTTTTGAATATTAGTCCTATTTGTAAAAGCTTTTTTCAAATTTCCTGTTCTTCGTGGACACTTTTGTGATTAACTCAACACTGTTATGTTAACCCCTCTTTTTAAATCCTCATTTATATCTCTCTAAAAGTATCTAACTTTATCTACTATTTAGTTAGTAATTTGTGTGTGTTTCTTATTTATGCCTCTGTTGCTCTGCCAATCCCACCGTACCATACCACGAGGCTAGAAATTCCTTGAAGTGAGGGGCTGGGCCTTAAACACCTTTATATCCCCTGGAACACCTAGAGCCATGCTTGGAATATGGTGGATTCATCCAATATTTATTCAGCGAATATTTACGCAGCATCTACCATTTGCCAGGCACCATTCTTGGTACTGGGGATACAGACAGTGGAAAAATGTGCATGATCTCTGTCTTCTTGTACCTTATCTTCTAGTGAGGAAGAATGAAAATTGCCACACAATGTTTTAAAAAATGTGTTCATAGGCAATGTACAATATAATATATAAGCACAAAAGAGGGTAAGCAACTAAAATATTAAGAACATTTTGCTTAATTAAAATGAACTTAAATTCATGACTACCCTCCAAAGTCTATACTTTTACTATTGGTCGTTTCCTCATTGCCTACATTTTAGTGCATTTTCATGTGTACATTCTAGCTTGTAACCTTGAAATGCTCCTGAATAGAATATCTCTCTTAAAATTCCTCTGGCTTCCTCTGGGAGAGCTGATGATGCTTACCCTTTGTTTAAATAACATTATTTTCTAATAGGAAAAGTTGCTTGGGATGATTATAAAGGCTTTCCATCATAGAAAATACTCTAGTTAGCTCTTCTATAATGAATATAAATTCTCCATTATCCAAGAGTGTTGGAAACAAAAAAAATGAAGGAGGCATGTTTTTTTTTTTTTTTTTTTTTTCAGAACATGCCTCTAGCTTTTTGAGATTTTCCTTTCTAAGGAAAGAATCCGTTTTGTAACAGATACTGAAACAGACTCCAGTTTTGAATGAGATATTTATTTGAAGAAACATCCCAGACTCCTTGATCAAATTAATTTTTGCTTTAAAGAGTTTATTCTTACTTAATTTTACGTCCTTCCTTTGGGAAGAAAAAAAGAAGGAAAAAATGAAATAACGACCTAAACCTGGCCTGATTCCCAGCAATCTGCAGGTCAGAAACTATTTCATAAGGAGTTCTCATGGGAAGATATTATTTTCATTCATGAATATTTATGTTTATCCAAACCTGAAACTTCATTAAATTTCACTTATGATACGGTTCAAGTGTATTTTCCAGCAATATTATGTCTTTCTTTGCTTACCCAGGAAAAACATAACTCAAATGAATATCAGGAATAGCTTTTTGTGTTATTTTACTGAGACTTCCTTGAATAAGTTAGTATTATCTATGACGATGCTAGACTTTAACCCATCAAAATGTATTTCTGTATTATAATAAAAGAAAGTGAATCATTCAAAATAGTAGACCAGCAAATGACCTAATTTTTAATGGTGGTCTTTGAGACATAGTAGTGGCAAAAGAAGACTATTTTGGGATGTGGCGTTCTGCTCAGCAACCATGAATCATAGATCATTGGCAACTACTTACTCAAAAGCCAACTTTATTTTAAGGTTTTGGTTAGATACATACTATAGTAAGCCAAGAAAATGCAGACCTAGTGCTTTAAGTGACTGCAAATAATGTGGGGCTGAATAAGGTGTGTACATGTGTGTGGGAGGCAACTGTACCACTATGATACATAAGTAATCACAAATATTAGATGGAAGAGAGTGAAACAATTTCTTCCTGATCCTGATTAGCACACATAGCAAATATCATGGATTCTTTTCAATTTTTGAAAATCTTCAAAGTCAGAAAGTTAACAATCTCTCCAGAAAATCTGTCTGGCAACTGTGTCTAGGTAAAGAGCTGATTACAGCACAATAAGCAAATACTGTAGAAAGTTTTTTCCTGGCTAATTCTCCTAGGGAATTCACCAGTTCTGTCCTACTGAAAATTCAATAAGAATTTTATTTAAAATTTTTATTTCTGCTTGGATGCCACATCCAATTAGGCTTCCAACTTCTCATGTTTGGTACCTCCTATGATTCATCCATAAGCCAACTTCATAAATGGGGGAAATAACTATGTGTGGACAGACAGTGCAGTTATTGTGAGCATTGCCATTTTTCCAGGAAGTTCTTTCATTTAGCTGGGTCTAAATGTCTTTGCTGATATCTAAGGCCCATTTCCTCTTCAACAGATAAAGTATCTTGTTACTTTGCTCTGAGTAGTACTGTTTTAATTACCTGGAGACAGCAATGGGTACATTACCCAATCTCACATTACCAGTAAGTCATGCCCAGTCACACGGCCTTTCCTCAGATATCCTAATTTGTAATAATTTCATATCCTGGATACAAAGTCACACCAACTGGTATTGGCAGCACCAGAGGCTATGAAATCTGCAATGATAATTAATAAGTAGTTTAGCCACTATCCACTTCCTTGCTCCTACTATCCATTAAAACATGTCAGTTTGTTCTTATACAGCTCCTATCTCTCAGTGACTTGTTCTTATACACATGATTTAAAGGTGTTTATTTTGGGGGCATCTGGGTGCTTCAGTCAGTTAAGCATCTGACTTCAGCTCAGGTCATGATCTCGTGGTTTGTGAGTTCAAGCCCCGCATCAGGCTCTGTGCTGACAGCTCAGAGCCTGGAGCCTGCTTCAGATTCTGCATCTTCCTCTTTCTCTCCCCCTCACCTGGTCACACTCACTCTCGCTCTAAAAAAATAAATAAACATTAAAATTTTAAAAAGAAAATAAAGGTGTTTATTTTTATTCTTTCCCTTTTTCTTAAGCAGTGCTTCTCAAAATGTGGTCTCTGGGAAAACTGGAGTGCATGTTATAAATAAATATTTCCAGATGGAACAAATTTTAACAACCAAAGGACAGAGCCAAGGTTGCTAAACTTTAACAAGCTTCCAAGATAAACAGATCCAAGAGCTTTCAAATATGAGAGTCTTCCTTAAATTATAAAGGGCAATTTCAATATGAATTTAGTCATTTTCTTAAACTCCATACCAAAACTAAATCCTTGTAGGCATTCTTTGTGCTTTCTTATCTCCATTGCCTGGGTTCCTGATTTTTCCCTCTGCTTAAAGAGCTATATTCCCTTCTTTACCTATTGAAATTCTTCCTATCCTCCAAGGCCACTCTTAAAAAAATGTTAACTTCCTCATTAAAGCTTTCATTATCTTCTGCCTTATTTTGATTATATCAACCTGTAAACTCCTATAGCACTTTGTATTAGAAATATGCTTTCTTTTCTTATTCATTCCACAAAATTGTGAGCTCATTACCAACAAACACCATCTTTTATTCATGTATATATATGACCCTTTACCCCTAAAGTGTCTGGCTACTTTGCATGTAGTATAAACTCAATATGATTCAACCAAGTGTATTGAACATCTAGACCAGAGCTGAATACAATAGGAGGATCCCTTTATGTCTCATATATGGTATGCTATTTTACAAACAACTTGCATATAGCTTCATATTATTGACTACTGTTTAACTTGTGGTTCATAGTTGGTATCAAGCCTGTATGATTTAAATATAAGAGAAAGTATTACATCATTTTTGATAGATATTGTAAAAACATTGAGCAGTTTAGAATTTACATGAAGCCAGTTATCCAGCTATCAGTGTCTCCTATTTTTACCACTCTAGATGTATGCATCCTAAATTTTGGTTTAAAATACAGGTCACCATTTCACATAGTTTTATTTTAAATATTATTTTTGAAATTATTCACTTTGTAAATGTGATGAGAAAATCAAAAGTTACAGTGAAAAAACTGTATGTATTTCCTATTCTCAGTACTGACATGGCTTTGGGAATTTTCCTCCCCTCTTCTAAATGTTCATCAAGAGTTTCAGACCAGACATCATAATTTGGACAAAAAGAGAATTTTTATTAAGGAAAGTTAAAAGCTTCCAAGTTTATATAAAATAAACTAAGATCCAAGATAACCAAGTCCTTCTGGCTGTTTTCACTCTTTTGCAGTCCTTTTCTTGCAATTTTCTCTTTGAGAGTGTTCCCTATTCACTGCTTCACAGGATTAATAAGATGCAAAAGTGGAGAAGTAAAGCAACTTTATGAAGTCTGGTAAAAAGAACAAGAGTAGAGTGGAAAATTAAACTAGTCTCCAGAGCCTTACTCCAGGGCTGGCTTTGATTTTGAGTGTAGGTGACTACCTAATGTAGTGATTTCCAGGGTTGCCAAAAATGTGCTTCTTTAAGAAAAAATAAAGTACAAATCCTTTCCTATTTGTGGGCTGGAGTGCAACCTCCATCTTAAGAATAAGACGTATCCCCTATTGAGGACACTTAGGCTTAGAATACGAGACTTCCACCTTTAAAGATGGAGTCCAGGAACTTAAAACTGACATCTTTTTCTGTGGAATATCACTACCCTACACAAATTCAGTCTTTCCATAACATGTGTAATAGATCATAGAGGTTTTGCAATTTGTGTTTTTCATCTCAGTTTGTGTATCAGCTTTTTTGTTCTTGGTGCTTAGTACTTTTTCCTCCACAGTTAGTTGTGCTTTACTTATATGTTAAGGACACTTTACCTACATTATATTATTCAAAATCTATAACATTTTGTTTTAGAGAACAAAAGGACATTATGGAAGCTTCTCAGCAGATACCTGAGGTCTGTAGAAACTGCATAAAAATCCTTATAAAAATTTAAATTTTAAGATTTTAAACACTAAAATGCAAGTGACAAACAGAAGAGATTGTCTAACTCTCAGTGATTACATTTTAGGGTACTAAATGGATATCCAAAAATAATAATCTAAAAAATTTTCTATGGGACATTTGATATCCCAATAAAAAGGCAGATAATCTAAAATATGGGGATCTCAGTTTTGAATTTTAATGACAGATACTGAATCCTGTCCTTAGATCAGAATTTTATATGGACCACAAAAGACCCAGAATACCCAAAGCAATCTTGAAAAAGAATAATAAAACTGGAGACATCACAATTCTGGACTTCAAGTTATATTACAAAGCTGTAATAATCCAAATAGTACAGCACTAGCACAAAAATAGACACATACATCAATAGAACAGAATAGAAAATCCAGAAATAAAGTTACCATTGTATGGTCAGATAGTCTTTGACAAAGGAGGAAATAATATCCGGGGGGGGCGGGGTTTCTGCAGGGTCACCTGGGTGGCTCAGTCGGTTGAGTGTCTGGCTCTTGATTTCGGCTCAGGTCATGATCTCAATGTTTATGGGATCAAGCCCCACATAAGGCTCTGTGCTGACAATGACAGAGCCTACGTGGGATTCTCTCTCTCCCTATCTCTATTCTCCCCTTCTCATGCACTCTTTCTCTCTCTCAAAATAAATAAATAAACTTAAAAAAATAAAAACTTCTGCAGAGTGAAGGAAAGAATCAATAAAACTAAAAGATAAACTACAAAATTGAAGAAGATATTTACAAATGAAATATGATATAAATGGTTATTATAAAATATATACAAAGAATTGATAAAACACAACATCAAAAAATAAATAATCCAAGTGAAAAGTGGGCAAAAGACACGAATACACATTCTTCCGAAGAAGACATACAGATGGCAAACAGACTCATGAAAAGATTCTCATCATCACTTATGATCAGGGAAATGAAAATCAAAACTATAATGAGACATCACCTCACATTGTCAGAATAGCTAGAATCAACAACAAAAGAAAAATGGGTGCTTGTGAGAATATGGAGGAAGGGAACCTTCATGCACTGTTGGTGGGAATGCAAACTGGTGTAGCCATTGAGGAAAACAGTATGGATTTTGTTCAGAAAGTTAAAAATAAAACTACCCTACGATCTAGCAATTTTACTACTGGGCATCTGTCAAAAGAATAAAAAAAAATTAATTCAAAAGGAAATATGCACTCCTGTGTTTATAGCAGCATTATCTACAAAGCTAAGATATGGAAGCAGACAAAATGTCCTTTAATTCATGAATGGATAAAGAATTTGTGTATACACACACATACACACACACACACACACAATGGAATATTATTCGGCCATAAAATACCTTAAATCTTGCCATTTGCAACGACATGGATGGAGCTAGAGAGTATAATGGTAGGCAAAGTTATACAGAGGAAGACAAATACCATATGACTTTACTTATATGTGAAATATAAGTAAGAAAACAAATGAGTAAAGAGCAAGAGAGAGAGACAACTAAGAATCAGACTGTTAACTATAGAGAACAAACTAACCATTACCAGAGGAGAGGTGGGTGAGGGGAATGGATTAAATAGGTGATGGGGATTAAGGAATGCATTTGTCGTGATGAGTATAGGGTGATGTATGGAATTATTGAATCACACTATTGTACACTTGGAATTAATAAAACACTCTGTGTCAACTGACTGGAATTAAAATATGAATTTATAAAAATTGAAAAGATATTTGTACTAATGGATTATAAATTAATATTTTCAAGATGTTCATAGTACCCAAAGGAATCTATAGATTCAATGCAATCTCTATAACTATTCTAAAGTCATTTTTCACAGAACTAGAAAAAATAATCCTAAAATTTGTATGAAACCTAAAATTTTTATGAAAAGACCCTCAAATGCCAAAACAACCTGGAGAAAGATAAACAAAGCTGAAAGTATCACACTTCCTGGTTTAATTTTTTTAACGTTTATTTATTTTTCAGATAAATACAAAACATGAGTGCGGGGGCTGGGGAGGGCAGAGAGAGAAGGAGACACAGAATCTGAAACAGGCTCCAGGCTTCAAGCTGTTGGCACAAAGCCCAACACAGGGCTCAAACTCATGGACCACAAGATGATGACCTGAACTGAAGTCAGATGCTCAACCAAATGAGCCACCCAGGCGGACCTCACACTTCCTGATTTAAAAACAAGTTACAACCCTATGAAAATCAAATAGTATGGTATTGGCAAAAATACAGAAACACAGATCAAGGGAACATAATTGAGAGCCCAGTATTAAACCCACATATACATGGACAATCGAATTGTGACAAAGAGGCTAAGAACATACAATGGAGAAAGGATATTTTCATCAATAAAAGACACAGGGAAAGCTGGACACCCACATTCAAAGGAATGAAATTAGATCACTATCTTACATACTACACAACAGATAACTCAAAATATATTAGATAATTGAATGTGAGCCCTGAGACCATGAAATTCCTAAAGGAAAACATAGGTGGTAATTTCCTTTCCATTGATCTTAGTGTTGTTTTTGTGGATCGGATTCCACAAGCAAGCAAAATGAAAACAAAAATAAACAAATCGTTCTACATCAAACTAAAAAGCTTCCACACAATGAAAAAAATCATTAAAACAAAAAGCCGACCTACTTTATGAGAGAAGATTTTTG